TGGATTGGTAAGTTTCTAATTAATTGTTATATACATTTTGTCAACTGTATAAAACGAGGACTCAATCAACACAACACAATACAACACTTATTTAGACTCTTTATAAAGAAATGCATGTCTAAGGAAATGGGGACTTAAGCGATCATCGTGATCCCCCCATGACCTGGGAAAATCGGGTTCTAAGCGATCCTCGGATCCCTCCTTTTTCTATCAAAAAGACTGTGTTTCTAAGGAGATGTATACCTCTCCTAAGAGTCTTACGAGTGTACTTGTATTGGCAATAAGGTTGATCTTGCTTACCTTACATTTTTTTTACTTACCTTACATTTTTTTTATATTCATCAGTTGTCGCGTACCAAGAGAAGAAATTTAAAGAGAAGATGCAGAATATCCGTCAGATATTCCCTGAAGGTGCGCAGTGGCTTGATCAACATGACCTTGAAATGTGGACGTTTCATAAGGACGGAGGTACCAGATGGGGTATTGCCACAACAAACTCAAACGAGAGTATCAACAATGTCTACATGGAATGTCGTGCACTCCCCATCTCTGCAATTATTGAGATGACATTCTGGAAACATTTACCTACAACCATAAGCTTCATGTCGTAGGGGATGGTCGGGACCCCATTCCTTGTCGGGGTCAACCTTTGGCGCAATCCATGGCAAATGCTCCCAAGCCCAAAATTGGATGATGAACATGACCCCATCAATCTCCTTCACCGCTCTCGCACTAGCATTACAGAGGGATCGGTAGAGATGAGCTAGGAAAGCAGATGCCCAGCTCAGGTTTCCCATATCATCCCAACTCCCAAGTATGATCTTCAACCATGAATTGCTGATTAGGTTGTTGGATTTCTTGGGGAAGAAAACTCCTCCGATCATTGCCGAGGATGTACATACGTGCATAAATGTCTTTATCACGCTCCGAACTTTCCTCCGTGAGGGGAATGCCTCCGAACTCAGGGTTGTGCTTATGCCTAATCTCCGCTGTCAACCACGTGATGGATACTTGGCCCTTGGACAATGGTGGATGACCATCCGCATCGTGATCTCCCTTTTCTGGTAGACACAACCTGGTGACCGTCCATATAAAATGCTGCCAACCACTCATATTGGCAACAACTTTAGGTGGTGGCGTAGAGTTCACACAAACAACATCACCATCGATGGGCAGATCGGTTAGGATGGCGATGTCCTTAAGTGTGATGGTGCACTCGCCTTCACGAAAATTGAAGCAGTGTGTCTCCTTTCGCCATCTCTCTACCATCGCCGTGATGAGTTGGCGGTCGGTCTTGATTCCATTAAAATGTCTAATCGAATCCAATCTTGCCCTTTTTAGAAAGGGCAAGATGACGTTGTTCCATTCAAGCACATTCGTCGTGCCCCTATAGCGGACTATATGGTATGCATCCTAGAGAAGAATTTAAATTTCACTTTAAGTTTATGATTTATACATATATAAATATAATATAAGATGCAATATTAATTAAATCAAGGTTGTTTTATAGAAATATACATTATCTAATAAACATTAATTTTAACATAACTACAACATATTATAAGATGCAATATTAATTAAATTAAGGTTGTTTTAGAGAAATATACATTATCTAATAAACATTAAATTTAACATAACTAAATAATATTATAAGATACAATATTAATTAAATTAAGGTTGTTTTAGAGAAATATACATTATATAATAAATATTAATTTTAACATAAATAAAATAATTTTCTAAGATGCAATATTAATTAAATCAAGGTTGTTTTAGAGAAATATACATTATCTAATAAGCATTAATATTAACATAACTAAAATAATTTTTGAAATTTAAGTATAATTATTTTTTGTACACATACACATAAAATCAAATATATTATTTTGTTAATCGTATTGATAATTTTCAATAATTTAAAGCAATACAATTACACTCGTAAGACTCTTAGGAGAGGTATACATCTCCTTAGAAACACAGTCTTTTTGACAGAAAAAGTGGGGATCCGAGGATCGCTTAGAACCCGATTTTCCCAGGTCATGGGGGGATCATGATGATCGCTTAAGTCTCCATTTCCTTAGACATACATTTCTTTATAAAGATTCTAAATAAGTGTTGTATTGTATTGATTTAAATTATTGAAAATAATCAATACGATTAACAATTAAGTAAATTATTGTACAAACAAATAAATTACTTTAACAAAATACAAATTACAAGTGATGATAAATAATATGTACCTTGTGGTCATTCCAAACGTCTCTTGGACGATGATTAGCTTGATCGTATAAAACAGTCGGATCAATCGGTCCTTGATCAACATAATATCGTTGACTGTAAATATCAACATCCGGCCCAACCTACGATAGCATAACAACAACATAAATCAATTAGTATATAAATTAAATAAATCCTTATAACAACAACAACAATTGGGTAAAATGAGTACGTACCGTTTGATAATCATCATAGAAAAGGCCCTCTTCTTGGTTGAAATCGGCCATTTTTTCGGAATCCGAACAGAGGTTCGACGGTTTTTTAGTGAAAACCAAAGAAAAAGTTTTTTGAAGGCAGATCGGACTTAGCCGCAACCAACAAAATAACTAATTGTAAGGTTTTTGGGTGGGGAGGGGGGTGGGTAGAGTGAGAAGTTAGAGGGAGAGACGGGGGAATGGGTTTGGTGTGCAGAAAATGGGAGGGGGAAGGGGGGTTTATATAAGGACGAAACCGCGTGAGGGAGGGACGGTTCCGTCCTTTTACCCCGCCTAAAACCGCGCCTCCAGCACGCGGTTAGCGTTCCCCAACAGTCAAACCGCGCTTCGGGGGAGCGGTTTGACTGAGCGACGCGGATCGCTGAGCTGGCGCGCGGTTTGGCCGTCAGATCGCTCCCCCGTTGCGCTGTCCGATGCACCGCCACGTGGCCACGCGGTTTGACTGGCAGGAAGAGTCAAACCACGCCTTGGAGGCGCGTTTTGTGCATTAACCGCTGCCAGGAGGCGCGGTTTTAATGTTAACCGCTCATTAGAGGCGCGGTTTTAAATAAACGATGACATTTTTGGAAATTGTTGGGAATGGGTGGTAATTTTGTAATTTTTTTTTTAAACAGTGGTAGTTTTGGATTTTTTTCCTCTTACTGGTCGGTAATTGCGATTTTGATTGAATTTGACCGGTATTAATTGGATTTGACCAAGGCTTAATATCGTCTCCTTTCCAACTGGTTTGGTAACCGGTAATGGTTATACTCTGTTGAACCGGCCGACAGGAAGCCGACGTGACAACCATGGCAAAACTCTAAAGTGGAACCAAAATCGTCGATCTAGTTTAGGCAGATTTTCTGATTAACCGGTTAATATCCGACAGACTAGCTTTCTTTGTAATTTTAGGCAATAAGAACTTAAGTCAGCCCGAATTCGATTAATCATGGTCTCACCAACCAGTTCGACCCGGTTTTGATAACAATATTAATAACACCTATAAAATATATTTGTAAATACAATGACCAAACATGTCATGTACCCCTAGATAAAATTATATTCATTATATATGACAAGAATTGCTGATAATATATTGCCTAAGAATTGCTGATGCGCTCAAAGTATGGCAAGAACAAAGAAAACCTCGACATCATCAAACCTCTAAAGGGAAGTTCCTTTACCTAGAACAACATTTCCAAAGCTAGGGATTTGCTGAATAAAGGTTGTGGATGGAATATTCATTGAGGAAATCTCACCCGCTTTTGGTCTGATGTTTGGATTTTGCAGGCTCCTCTTCAGGAACTGGCTACTGGACCTATCCCGGAAGGGGAGAGGGGCGCCATGGTGGCTGACTACGTGGATGAGGAAGGCACCTGGATCACCGAGAAGTTCAAAGACCTCCTTCCTGAGGGAGTGGTGCACAAAATCACAGCGCGTGGTGTAGATCCTCTATCTGGAGAGAATGATGTCATGTTTTGGCATCCCACCTCTGACGGCAACTTCTCAGCTAAAAGCGCTTATCAACTCATGCAACAGCCCACAACCAGCAACTCAACTCACCTTTGGAAAGCTATTTGGAACCTTCCAATTTCGGAGAGAGTTCGCTGCTTCATGTGGGTGGTGGCGCATGATAAGGTAAGCTGCAACGTGCAACTGGCTAAAAGGAAAATTACCTCCTCTCCTTTTTGTTACAGGTGGTTGACTCAGGAAGAGACCACTCTCCACATTGTCAGAGATTGTCCACCTGCTGCCTTCTTCTGGGCGCGCACAGTCCCCATCGAGAAGCAGGGAGATTTTTTCAGCATGCAGCTCAATCAGTGGCTATCGAAGAATCTGCAGACGGAGGAGATGAGGGGAATCGAGACCCCTTGGAAAGCCTTCTTCAGCATTGCGATTTGGAATCTGTGGAAGAACAGGAACGAGGGCATCTTCAAGGGAATTGACAAGACTCTTTCGCCGCCCTCCTTGACCCAGGCTATAAAGATTAAAGCGACCTTGTGGTATAAAGTTTGGAATGCACCGAAGGACAGCCTCGGGCGCTGTGCTGCCCCAGCACACCGCACGCTCAGTGAGATAGGGTGGACCCCCCCCCCCCCCCTCCGGCTGGATGGACAAAGGTAAATGTGGATGGCGCGGCTAACGGGAACCAAGGACCAGCAGGAGCAGGAGGTGTTTTAAGAGATCATCAGGGAGCCTGGATCAGAGGCTTCGTCGTCAACCTTGGGACTTGTTCGGCGATCCAACCGGAACTTTGGGGCATCTATCATGGTTTGGGAATTGCTTGGCAAGCCGGAAGCAGAACTATTATAGTGGAATCCGACTCGCAGATGGCCCTGCAGCTCATAGAGAAAAGGAATGATTTGATTCACCCGCGTGCAACCCTTCTGACCGCAATCAGACGCAGAATAGCTCAAGATTGGGTGGTAAGACTAGTTCATACTTATCGGGAGGGGAATAGAGTCGCGGACTGGCTCTCGAAGCACAGTCTCGTCTATCCATACGGTAAGTATGAATTGGAATTACCTCTCCAAGAACTTCGTATTATTTTAGACGATGACAGCAGAGGTAAAACTTTTCCCAGAAGCATCATAAGTGCTTCTGGTACCCCTCCACTCTGTAACCCCTCTCCGCCCCTTTTCCTCTCTGTCTCTTTGGCTTGTTAGCCTCCCTCGAAAGCAAAAAAAATATGTAGTTGTTTTGTACCATCTTTATGACAGATTTCGAAACAGAGGGCCCATTTACATTTAATTTTCTTCAATGGTTTATGTTGGCCCTTTTACATTTAAGACTGGAACGGAAAAATTCAAATTGTGCGACCAAATCGTAGATCCCCACTAGCTGGATTATCATTCAGAACTTAAATTAGATAGTGACTCCATCAGCCGATCCTGCAAGTGGTGAAGGTGGGAAAGCTCCATCCGATGTGTTGAACTTTGACGATGAAGTAATGTCACTAGAAAACTGACTTTTCCGGTCAACGTCCCCCGCTGTGATAGTCAACGATGAAGGAGTGGAACATTGGTCCGCCCATTGGAAGTCGCCGTAAGTCGCGACCGGCATATTCAGTGGAAGAATCGGCAATGGAGCCTCAAAGTTGAGCACTTGAAGCGCTTGCCTAGCCGAAGGTCTCGAGCTTGAATCTGGGTGAGCACAGAACATCCCGATGATCATTAACCTCTCCATTTCTTGTTCATCGAACACTCCATTCAGCGTTGGATCAGAACCCTCCATTAGCAGCCTTCCAGCTCCATAGAGGTCCCAAAGCCAGTGAACCAAATGCACAAAACCCCCCTCTTTGTCTTCCATAACTGCAGGCCTTCTCCCGGTAGCAATTTCCAGAAGCACAACCCCAAAGCTGTAGATGTCCGACTCTCTGCTTGCCTTGCTTGTTACCGCGCATTCAGGAGCCATATAACCCATTGTCCCGGCCAGCATTGTTGTTTGGGAGCCCTTCTCGTGATCCACCAGCCTCGCCAGTCCAAAATCCCCAAGTTTGGCGTTGAAATTGGAATCTAACATAATGTTACTCGACTTAATGTCCCTGTGAACCACACATTGCTCCCACTCCTCGTGCAAGTAGAGCAATCCAGAGGCCAAGCCTTTGGCGATTCTGTATCTCGTTTCCCATGTCAGCAACAAGCTGTCATCCTTGTTCGCGTTAAAAAGATGGGCATCCAGGCCGCCATTAGGAAGAAACTCGTAAACAAGGAGTAGCTCCTTTTTCTCATAACACCATCCAATTAGTTGAACCAGATTTCTGTGCCTCAGTCGGCTGATGATCTTCACTTCAGCCACAAACTCCTTCATCCCTTGTCTTGATTTTCTGGACACCCTCTTCACTGCAACAACGCATTCATCCTCGCCATCTTTGTCTTTGAGAAATCCCTTGTAAACTCCACCAAACCCTCCTTCGCCAAGCTTGTTGTTATCCCCTTCACTGAAATTGTTTGTAGCCTTTTTCAATTCCCTGAAGGTGAACATCCTCGGCCCGGCGGCTCCTTTTTCCAACACTCCGTCCATCACAAACCCATCATCGCGCCCATCGCCTTCAATCAAGCCCACAATCCTTTTTCTGAAAAAAATTCCACCGAAACAAAAAATCAACAACAGAAACCCAGCACCCAAACCAGCCAACAGGGCGACTCTGTTTTTCCCCCTTCCCCTGTTGATGTTGAGGCCACCGCCGCCAGTCCCGTTGTTAGACGAGGAGACTATTTCCAAGGAGGAAGTGAACTCCCAGGAGTGAATCCTGTGAATGGCCACTTGGTCTCCGGTTGAACCGGAGAACCCAAAAGTGACCTCCTCGGGAAGGTAATTCCTCAAATCGATTATGTGGCTCAGCCTCTGCACAATCCTTACATCCCTAACGTACGCAGACACAGCAACGCTCAAGTTTCGAGCGGCGGAATCGTAAGAAATCCAAGCCTCGCTCCTCCTCCCACCCATTACATCGGCTCCCCAAGGTATGGTCCTCACAGATCTCAGCGAATTGATGTCGATCCCCACGTGCCTACCCAGCGGGAGCGGGTCGAAATCGTTGCTGAAGATATCGAATTCCACCGCCACGAAGCGGTTGACCGTTGTGTTGAGCGCGTGAGCGCTGTCGACGAGGCCCAGAGTGCCTCCGGCGCTGGACGGAGGGAGCTTGGAGCCGAAGGGGGCGAGGAAGAAGGCGAGACCGTCGCCGTAGCCATCTTTGTACTGAGAAAAGATGCTGAAGGTGAAATGGGTCTGGAAGTCGGTGAGGTTTTGGGACTGTGGGTCCCACAGGGGTAATGGGTCCCGGTAAGTTGCTCGGCCGAGGGAGGAATTGAGGGTGGAGCCCTGGAGGTTTCGGGTGAGCTGAATCGTGCCTTCGGCGGGGAAGGCTTGCTCGTAGGTGATGTTGGTGTCGTCGCTGGTGAAGGCTGTAAAGTTGAAACTTAAGGCCGACGACGGCAGTGGAGCTTTGAAGAGGCTGGCGATGGTGATGAGATTGTGAACAAGAAGAAGGAAAGGCTTGGCCATAGTGAATAGAGCGGCAATTTGTGGGATGGCCAACATGAGACAGACGCGTAGAACGGTAGCTTGGGTTTTCAAGAGAGTTTGCGGGGGCTGCTTGACTATCTTTATCGTTGACTGTTGTAAGTCGTCGTCTCTTTTTCTTTATTCTTTTTTTTTTTTTTACAAAAACTTTTTCTTTATTCTTAGATGGATACTAGTTTTCCTACAGCGGTCCGCCGCGAGATTAATTAATTATTAATATATTAATGATAATTATTATTTTGTTATTAATTTATTATCAACGAGAATTATAAAGAGAATATATTAGGAATGGCAATGGGCTCGCTAACATCTGCCACAGGGTAAAGCACTGTCTCTCGGGGCCCCCGACTGATTCTACCATAGAGGCCAACGAAAAACAATAACCCCCCCCCCCCCCCCCCCCGCGCGCGGAACACAACTTACAACTTTTATCGTACTATGCTCTCCAAAGAGCAACTCTTCTCAAAAGGTGTTGAGTTGCAGTCCCATTCTAACTAAGGATTCTTGTAGTTCCGGAGGATCCAGCTATAGGAAAACCAGGAATGGAAAGCTTCTCCCCGCCCCCTTTTTCCGCCCCACTCTTTGGTCTTAAGAATACTGGTTTTAAGAATGAGTAATTGCCCTTCTCCAACCCTTACTGCCCAACTCACAGCCCAGGCACAACGAAGTAATTGTCAGGGGCGCGCTCTACCACTAAGCTAATAGCCCGTCGTGCGGGCCCCAATATATTAGGGATGGCAATGAGCTCGCGGATTTTGGACATCCGTCGGGCCCTGCCCGAAAACAATGGGCTTAAACACGCGAAGGCGGGCTAGAAGGCGGTGACAGGTATGCCCGCGAACCGGTGGCTGCGGTTATGGGCTGGGGACGAATTCAACGATCCCCACCCCGTACCCTAGGGGTGGGCATCCGGTTCGGTAAACCCGAACCGAATACAAACCGAACCGAAACCAAAATAATGTTGTTCGGTTCGAAAATCGGAACATAAATTGGCCTAATTCGGAAATCAGGGTAGTCACAAACGAACCGAGTTTCCGAGTTTCCGAATTTCGAACCGACCAACCAAAATTTTACATACAATCTCGTCCCCAGCCCAGACCCCACAGCCCAACCGAAGCCCAAACTCTTCCCAGGCCAGTCCATAGACAAAACCCCAGACTCTCCCCCTACCCTAACAAAAGACTCCCTAACTTCCATTATCATCGGTGACCTCTGCCGCCGCTTGTAACCTTCTTCCCCGATTGAGCTCCCTGATACCAAAAACCCAAATCCAAACATAAAACCCACATGCATCAAAAATTGGTACTGAAAATCAAAATAGAACCCACATGCATGTCGAAAAGAGCTTACCCGATTCTAGATCCAACTTCCTCTTCATTGTCTCCGACGTGATTTCAATCGCCCTCTTCATCCCGCTCGTGGGTTCATTCTCCGGGAGATCACCCTCCTGTCGCCAGCTATGCGCGCTCCCTTGAGATCGCCCTCCCACCACCGGCTGTGATCGCCCTCTTCATTGTCGCTCGTGGTTTCAATCGCTCTCCTGCCGCCGGCTATGCCTCCCCCCAGAAGATCTCCTCCGACCAACACAGCTCCTGTCTCCACACGCCGAGAGATCTCGTTGTTCTTCCAGCCACCGTTGCCCGTTGGCGTCAACCACCAAGGAAAAATGAGAAAAATATATTTAAGGCGAGAGAGAGAAGGTAGAGAAGAAGTGTTGCTTTTTATGGGAGAGCCGGCGACAGAAGGAATTGGGTTTAATGGGGGGAGCTAGATCTGTTTGTTGCAGCGCGAGAGGGGAGAAAAAAGAGGAAGTGGGAGAGGTTAGAAGTAAGAGGAGCTTTTTTTCTTCTGATTAATGAGGTTGACTTTTGTCCAACAGAAGAAGACATGGTGATAGTGGGGAGAATCGGAATTTCAAGCCGAACCGAAATTAGGGTACCGGTAAGCATCTTTTCGGTTCGGTTCAAACCGAACCGACCGAATGCCCACCCCTACCGTACCCGCCCTGAGTACAAAACGACGCCGTTTTGTAACGCGTATATAATCGCCAAATTTAGGGTTAGGGTCTGGAAACGCCATTTTCACCAAACCCTGCCGCCCTCGTCCCCGATTTCCTCTCAACTCGAACACGGCGAATCGCCAATTTCTCTCCAAATCTCTTCCATTCCGACGATTCCTCCTCGTTTCTCAACATATTTCCCTTGTAAATCGACGATCCCATCCCCAATAGCCCCAGAGATAGTCCTTAATCGTTGCCCTCACTCACCTAAAATGTCTCAACCGACGAAAATCGGCTTCGAATCATGCATGCATACGATTTATTTCCCAGATCGAGATAAGTATTCATTTCTTCTTTCTTTCCCAATTCGATTTGTACTGAAATGTGTATAAATAGGAGACTCACTTCTTCGTTTTGTTCATCTACAATTCTTAGAACCCTAAATCCAGAAACCCTAGCCAACAGATTTCGGAACCCCCTGCTTATCCGTCATTCTCAGTAAGTTTTGCATGTAGTAGTTCGTTTGATGATTTTTTTGCGAGTGTTTGCTTAGTGATAGGGCAAAAGCGTAATGCCAATTCCTATCTTGTAGTAAAACCGGAAATCCGGGTATCGTCTCTCAGGGACGGGTACAACCTTATAATTTATCAATTTTTTGGAGCAAACTATAAGTGAAAAAAGGGTTTGGTTGATGAAATTATTAACTAATAGCAAAATAATTAAACTAATTAAGCAAAGTAAACTTGTCGGGAGAAATTCAATGGGAGAAACACCGGGATTCACTACCTATCCTATCCAGATTAATTCACATATTCCAATCAATTTAATCCAACTCTCTACAGCCAGGATATCACGAATGTGCTAGCTATCCCTGTTGGGAATTACTACGTACTAAACAATTAAATCAAATCCAACTGTCGTAGCTCAATGACTTAATTATTTAGCCTGAAGATCGATATCCAATTTAAGACCACATAGCACCTTATTTAATCCACTGTTGCTTCGATAAGTTACTATGTCACATGAAATATGTTCAGTTATTAGGGTTTCACTATCGCTAATAACCTAATTAACAACAAATCAATGTATTGGTGGCCAGTCAACACAAAGAATTAAGTAATTTCATGCAATAGAGATTGGAAGAAAAGAAATACGAATCAATCCATCAATTCTAGAAATAGCTACATCCTATGGTGTTTCCCCCAGAAATTGGGGTTTAGTTCATGATGAAACTGAGATAAATCGATATAGTTTTGATCATCATATTCTAAATCAACAATAAACAACTAATTTGGTTCAGAAAATCCAACCAAATAATCGCTCTCGTTGAACTCAGCTCAAGCCGCCTGGGAAAACTCGATCGCCAATTGCCCTCTTCCTCTCGTCCCAAGCCTTCCGCTGCGCCCTCCTCTTTTCTGCCAAAAGAATTCCCTTCCATCCAAAAACTCCCCCCCCCCCCCCCCCCCCGAAGATGACAAACACTTCGGCCCACTTTTTTCTTCTCCCCTCGTCCTTTCTTTCTTCACCAAAAACCAATCTATTCCACTTGATTATTTGCCCCCAACTAAAGGACAAACGACTCGGTCCAAGTTAATTCAAGCTTCCTCCTCTGTTACGGTCCAAGTCTCAGGCGAGAAGAAAAAGAATGGGCCCTGGCCCATTGTTAATTCCAGAGGTGGAAGGAAATAATTCCTTCTGATCCAAAAATATAAAGAGCCGGTTTTTTCTTCGATAGCCTGTTTGTGTTAACATTTTTCTTCACCTAAAACATATAGAATTCATGGCACTTGGCGGTAATGGTTTTATTGCCATTCCATAGTTAATCAGCTCTAAAACAAGCATTATTTGTCTCAAACATATCATGAAATATTCACATTGAACACATTAAATCAATATGTTTTCAACAATTATCACAACCCCACACTCAATACTTGCTTGTCCCTAAGCAACGACTTGAACAAGAAAACGATAATTGGAGAAAACACAACACAGACCAGGAAACACAACCCTGTTCAAAACACACGACCCACAAACACAATCACTAACACCATGAATCACGAGACACAAAACACAACATCGACACCATAAATTTTTCCTTGTACTCCTGTGATAATCAGCAGTTTCTTTCTCAACAAACGAGTTGTGCTTTAATGATCATCCCTTTCACCCCACACTCAAGTTCTTTGCAACCATTTACCATTGACTGACTTAAATCCATCAAAAACTCAATTAGCAACATTCAATTTTGATCGTCGGTAGTGGGTGATTAACAACTTATGGTGCAACAATTATTAGGAGAATCTAACCACGTCAGTGAGGTGCATATCTCATGAGGACAATCTGGCTTACTCACATCAATCATAAGCACCCAACTAAGCGCAAGAGTCTCAAAAACTAATGGGGGAAGCTTTTAGAAAACTTGGTTTTAACTTTAAGCACATCACTACCTATCTGACAAGGAGAGGCTCTCTCTCTCTCTCTCTCTCTCTCTCTCTCTCTCTGCTTGCCGAGTGATCGTATTTAGTACAAGTGGGATTTGTTTCTTACTACCGATGACCGAGCAAGAGCAATTTCTGCTTCTTAGCACTCGCATAAGGGCTTCTTTCAACTCCTTTTCCTCGGTCCGTGTGGAGGGTCAATACACATCCTCAAATGGCACTTCACTCAATGGGGAATCGTACTTGATAATCAACATCGTACGGTCGCGAACCGATTCTCAATTGAATCTTTCCTAATCCCCCTGTGCAATGAATGATTACCTCACATGATTTTGGTATTTTACCCACACTTTAATTGTTATGGCAACTTTCTTATATTTTACTTGTCAGGTAGGATTTTTTCCTTTTATAAAGATACAGTTCACCCCATCTAAAACATTCAAAACGGAGGGACTCATTGCAAAATCAAAAGCTCAAAACTTATGCAAGTAAGCACGGTATCCAAACATGTCGAATGGTCAATGTTCTCCACCTAACTACTTCACCAAAAGTCATTACACTATCCTCACAAAATAGAGTTTTGCTAAAAGA